ATGCTGAATTAAGTATTGTTTAGGAAAGACTCATTCACCTGAAGAAATCTTAGTCAATTAACTTTTGGATGTCTACAGATTATCTGACAGAATTAGTGGAAAAGGTAGCAAAGAAATTTAACATGGATTCAGTAATTACTGTTGCATATATGAGTCCATAGTTGCAAGTGTTAGATATTAGCATAAGCAAGATAGTTATGTTAAAAGCAATATAGTTTAGCCATAACACAAGTATACACATCTCAAAACATGTATATAGTACAATGCTTCTGTATCAATTAAAAAAGAAATAAAAGCAATATAGTATTTATGTATTCAAAGTAATTTTAAAAACAATTGTTCTAATGTATAAAATGTGTACTTGTGTTTTTGGTAAAATATCTACGGATAGTAGCATATACTGATTCAAAAGGCATTTTCTCTCAACTCAGGCAGAAGTTGACATAATGTGCTCTGGAAAAATATGCCTTAAAATTATTCAAAAATTAGCTTTAATGATGATGAAAACACCAATATTAATGATTATTAGAGTCCTATAAAATTGTTTTATGAATATAAGGGTGGCAAAAAGTAACATTTCTAAGTTACTGGTTTGTGTAATATATTTAAATGTGTGTGTAAATGTTTTAGCCACTTAGCAAACAACAAATACATAATTAGGCATTCAACTATTTCACCTATATTTGTCTGGGTTTCTATATTCAAGTTGATTAAACTTGAAACTTATTGAGAAAAGAAAGGATTGCCTTCCTTTACATTTAGGCACAGTATAGGCATAATATACCACTTAATCATAAAAGACCAAGATTTTAAAATAACACTTATTCAAAGTTATATTAACTCAGTACCTAATACTTCTTTGTCCGTGTTGCTACAGACTTGTTACATTGAAAAATGCTTTCTTATGCTAAAAAGTGCTCAAAAAATGATGGGGGCATGTCATAAAGGTAGGGTTTGAAAAGGCTCCAACTGGCTAATTCTGGGACAATCTGAACACCAAAATAATTAAGTACTTCAGTCGATTACATAGTACTAGGGAGAGGAAGGGGGGATTAAATTTAGGAATCTACATCAATAATAAGTAGCTAAATGGGAGAAGAGGAAACGCTCTGGTTTACATCAGAATGTCAAGGACTGAATGCAAAATATAGAGAGAAGGCAAGAGTTGAGAAATTAATCATTTTGTAATCATCACAGTACAGACTAGATCCAACAAGAATCATAAAAGAATGTTAAATTAAGGAGGAAATTTTGATGAGAAGCAGGGTATGTTTTCGTGGTCTTAATGTGTTTCCTCATAGACTGCTTACTAGTTGCAAGGGAGAAAAAAGTAATTATAGAGAGGAGAAATCAGACATCTTAACTATGTAATCAAAGTTAACATCATCATCAAGGGACAGATGGCTATAAGCACCTGCAGATGTGATACTTTGTGAAGAAAGGAGACATAACTTATGCAGCAATATATAATCTGAATTTAATCACAAGGAAATATTACAGCCAAAAATTGAGCAATGTTACATTAAAAGAGGGAAAAGGGATGTATTCTCCAAAAATGTCCATGTCTTAAAAGACAGAGAAAAGTTGTGGCAATGTTCCAGATTAAAGAAAGTTAAAGACATATGGCAACTAAATGCAATATCTAATCCTAGAATGAATACTAAACTGGAGCAGGGAAAAGGATATTATCAGGTTAACTGGCAAAATAGGAAGGCAAACGGTAGGTTAAATTAAAAGTAGTGTATGAATGCTAAATTCAGTTAAGTTGGTAAGTATACTGTGGTGATGTAAACAATATCCCTACTCTTGGACAATATACGCTAAAGCACTTAGGGAAAAAGGACCATGGTGTATTTAACTCATTCTTAAAAGTGTTCAGGAAAACAATTGTGTGTGCATAGGGAGTAGCAGGGGAAGAGAAAGAGAATGCAAGCTGGACATGGTGGCTCATGCCTGTAATCCCAGCACTTTGGGAGGCTGAGGCAGGCGGATCCTTTGAGGTCAGGAGTTCAGGACCAACCTGACCAACATAGAGACACCCTGTCACTACTAAAAATATACAGAATTAGCCAGGTGTAGTGGTGCATGCCCGTAATCTCAGCTACGCAGGAGGCTGAGGTAGAATTGCTGGAACCCAGGAGGCAGAGATTGCAGTGAGCCAAGATCACACCACTGCACTCCATCCAGCTCAGGTGACAGAGCAAGACTCTGTCTCAAAAGAAAAAGAATGCAAACAAATTAGGTAAAATGTCACCAATATCTGAGATTTGGGTAACATCAGTAACACTGAGATACTGGTAATAATCTCTGTAAAGAGCACACAGGTCTTTGCTATACTAGTTTTATTGTTTTTAACTCTTCTGTAAGTTTGAAATTACTTCTAAATAAAAAGTTTAAAACACTGCTATATATAATGCTTACCCCTAAAGACTAAAAGCTTCCTGTATGTAAAATCTAATCATACTGTTTTAGAACTGTAATATTCAACATCAAAAATACCTTTTATCTTCAGCTGTTTCTCATCAATTTTAGGAAAGCAATCAATTTTGAGACTCACTATTATTTTTTATATCATCAAGAAAAAGAAGTGACAACTATAAAGTGCCTCTCAAAGAAGACATTTATGTGGCCAACAACATGAAAAAAAGCTCATCTTCACTAGTCATTACAGAAATGTAAATCAAAACCACAGTGAGATACCATCTTATGCTAGTCAGAATGACGATCATTAAAAAGTCAAGAAAACAGATGCTGGAGAGAATGTGGAGATATAGGAACACTTTTACACTGTTGGTGGGAGTATAAATTAGTTCAGCCATTGTGGAAGACAGTTGTGGCAATTCCTCAAGGATCTGGAGCCAGAAATACCATTCACCCAGCAATCCCATTACTGGATATATAACTGAAAGATTATAAATTCTACTATAAAGACACATGTACACGTATGTTTATTGCAGCACTATTCACAATAGCAAAGACTTGGAACCAACCCAAATGCCCATCAATGACAGACTTTATAAAGAAAATGTGGCACATATACACCATGGAATACTATGCAGTCATAAAAAATGAGTTCACATCCTTTGCAGGGACATGGATAAAGCTGGAAACCATCATTCTCAGCAAACTAACACAAGAACAGAAAACCAAACACTGCATGTTCTCAATCATAAGTGGGAGTTGAACAATGAGAACACAAAGACACAGGGAGGGGAACATCACACATCAGGGCCTGTCAGAGTTGGGGGTCAAGGGGAGGGACAGCATTAGGACAAACGGGTAATCCATGCGGGGCTTAAAACCTAGATGATGGGTTGATGGGTACAGTAAACCACCATGGCACATGTATACACCTATGCAACAAACCTGCATGTTCTGCACATGTATCCCAGAACTTTAAGTATTTAAAAAAAAAAAAAGATGCCATCAATTGTAAGACAAACTACAATTTCAGAGATGTTCAATATGAAAACACATGCATCTTAAAACTGATAAAATATGGCAAACCTTGCAAGCAATTAAAAACACATGCACACATCACTGTACCAAGATGCTGAATAGAACTTTTCCTGTTACCTGGCAGGATTCAAAGATGGGAACAAAGTGGAGCTAAAGAGCCTACCTTCTAGAAACAAAAACTGCAGACAACTGGGGGCCAGATATCTTTCCTAGATTTAAGAGGAACAGAAGTGGCCATGATGCTATCAGCCAGAGCCTCAATTGCCTCCCACCCTCATCCCAGTCTAGAGAGTGCAAAGGGAAGAGAGAGGGAATTGTCACAGTATACAGCAGTCTTGATGAAGAGGCTTTTCTTTCTCTTGAGCATCACCAAATTCTCTTGCTCCTTGAAGCCAAATAGGCATCCATATTTCCAGTTTTTGCCACTACAAGCAATACTTCCAAGTTAAATTAATAAAGATCCTTGTTGTTTGACTGAAGTACTAATTGACTTCAGTACTGATTGATAACTGACTGAAGTACTTAATTATTTTGTTATTCAGACTGCTCCAGAAGTAACCAGTTGGAGCCCCTTCAAACCCTACCTTTATGATATGCCCCCATCATTTTTTTTTTTTGAGCACTTCTTTTTGGCATAACAAAGCAATGTTGAATTTTAAAAATTTGTAGCAACAAAGACAAAGAAGTACTAGGTTTTGAGTTAATTTAAGTTTATTAATAAACATCCTTACAAATATGTCCTTAAATAGTGATACTTTTATTTCCAATTACACAGCTTCCCTAGAATAAGACTTATGAGTCCAATTATAGGTATTTTTAAAATCTTTATATATGTTGCCTAATTGGTTTTCAAAAAGTACATATAGTTTACATTTCCATTAGAAGTATGAAAATATCCTTTTCCCCACACCCCCACCATCACTATATATTTCTGCAATCTGACCTCTTAAGGTCACTATAATTCTCATTTCCCTATCTATTTGTAAATCAGAATCTCTTTACTTATGTTTATTAGCCATCCAGTAGCTTTCCTCTGATCTGTCTATTTATACTCTGACCTGTTTTTCCCCTCTTCTTTCTACCAATTGTTAAGAAATTCATGGGTAATGTAGACATTAACTTTTTCTGTCATCTATATTACAAATATTTCTTCCAGAGCTATTGTTAGTGAATTTATTTATATCTTTTGTCCTACCATTCCTTTGTTTTCTGAATAGCAACTAAATAAAAAACTAATCGAGAGTAACTGAAAAGTTAAAGCATTTATGTTGTATCTAAATAAGGCACAACAAGAAAAAGAGACGTCAACAAACTCAGCGGCAGTTATAACTGAAAAAATAAAGCCATTTCATGTTTACTTACCCCAGCAATTGAGATTTTCAATGAACCAGTTACATCTAACTTAGAGAAAGTATTATTAATCATCCTCATTTTTAACTGGAGAAAGTGAAGTATACTGGAAAGTCACAATGAGCAATGCATCTGAGACAGTAACAATGTCAATACAAGATTTTGGTAGCATTTAGGAGCAAGCTGCTTACCTTTCAATAGCTAATTCTTTGTTAGAAAGTTGCTGCACTGTAATCACAACCTTCTTCTCTATTCCTTGCTTTAATTTGAAATAAAATTTATCTCTATCCTTAGGCACAGGGCTGAAATATTCAAAAGGAATAGGAATTACCAATAATCTAATAAAATGCTAAATTAACCTATTCCAAGGTTAAAACAAACAACAAAGTATTTAAGCACTCTTATTCTCGAGATATACTAAACTCTCACCTTGCCACAGGTAGCAAACTATAAATTTTATAGACAGCCACAAAGTCATTATTAATTTTTAAATTGAATTTACAAGAGCCTTATTTTTTGCCTGCTAACCAAGGTTAAAATCAAGATCTTAAAAATGACAACATGGCCAAGTGCGGTAGCTCATGCCTGTAATCCCAGCACTTTGGCAGGCCGAGGCAGGTGGATCCTTGAGGTCAGGAGTTTGAGGCCAGCCTGGCCAACATGGTGAAACCCCATCTCTACTAAAAATATAAAAATTAGCTGGGTGTGGTGGTGCACACCTGTAGTCCCAGCTACTCAGGAGGCTGAGGCAGGAGGATTGCTTGAACCCAGGAGGCAGAGGTTGCAGTGAGACAAGATTGCACCACTGTACTCCTTCTTGGGCAAGAGAGAGAGAGACTCTGTCACAAAAAAGACAACATGATATGATTTCAATTTTAGTTTTAAAACAAATTTAGGAATAATGTTTACTTAAAATTTTTGGCCGGGCTCGGTGGCTCAAGCCTGTAATCCCAGCACTTTGGGAGGCCGAGGCGGGTGGATCACGAGGTCAAGAGATCGAGTCCATCCTGGCCAACATGGTGAAACCCCGTCTCTACTAAAAATACAAAAAAATTAGCTGGGCATGGTGGCGCGTGCCTATAATCCCAGCTACTCAGGAGGCTGAGGCAGGAGAATTGCCTGAACCCAGGAAGCGGAGGTTGTGGTGAGCCGAGATCACACCATTGCACTCCAGCCTGGGTAACAAGAGCGAAACTCCGTCTCGAAAAAAAGAAAAAAAGGTGTACATATATATATATATATACACACACACATATGGTATATACATGCTATATATATATATATATATATATACACACACACACACCTTTTTTCTTTATATATATAAATATATATATATAATAGTGTAAAAGTTCCCCTAGAAATAAACAAAGAGAAGAAACCAAATGTTAAAAGTGATTGTGTCTGATAAGATCATAGTTATTCTACTTTTATTATTTTACTAAATTTCCCATAATACCAGTATTTTTTAAAATCATTAAGAAAATAAGTATCTGGCTGGGCACACTGGCTCATGCCTATAATCCCAGCACTTTGGGAGGCCAAAGTGAGTGGATCATCTGAGGTCAGGAAGTTGAGACAAGCCTGGCTAATGTGGTGAAACCCCGACTCTACTAAAAATACAAAAAATCAGCCAGGCGTGGTAGCAGGCACCTGTAATCCCAGCTACTTGGGAAGCTGAGGCAGGAGAATCGCTTGAACCTTCGAGGCGGAGGCTGCAGTGAGCTGAGATCTGCCACTACACTCCAGCCTGGGCGACAAGAGTGAAACTCAGTCTCAAAAAAAAAAAAAAAAAAAAAAAAAAAGATAAAAGAAATATCTGACAAGCACAGGAACAAAAAATATTCACTCACCAGCCTGATAAATGTTTAGCAGTTTGAGGCTTTAAACCAACACATTTTATGCCAACAAAGTTTCCTGAAACTTTATATGAGCCAATACTCCAGACACAGTGCTAATTTGTAATCTTTCCAAATGCCTCACCTAAAGTTTCCTTTTCCATCGTCTTCTTTTACCTCCAAGGAGACACTGAAGGTAAATACATCACTGTCGGGGGTAGGAATAATTGAGTCTTTAACATCAGACACTTGTCTGGAAGAACGTTTGAACGCTGTAGAGAAACTATACAAAATTCTGCTTACCTAAAAGAATAAAAAGGGAAATACTATTAGGCAAAGGTTTTAATTGTATTCTGATACCCCTCTCTCCTAACTCTTGAATCTATAATTTTCTATGACCACAATTTTCTTTAGCAGAATGTGTGTGTGTGTGTGTGTGTGTGTGTGTGTGTGTGTATGTATGTATATAGTCTAAGTATTTATCAATTGTTTAGATATTACATGACATTTTCATCACTTGCGTGTTTAAAAAAAAAGAGTGGGTAAACAACTATATATGGCAAATGTAGACCATCCAAACTCTAAATTATTACAGCCTAAAAACTGTCATGAATGTGAAGCCCAAGAAGGGAAATATTGCAAAAGTATCACTTAAAAAGTAAATTAATTAAACAGAATTTTTTACTTTGAAATTAATAATGGGGTATCATTTCACTTCATGGAAATTTAAGTTCAAATCTGAGGTGTGTTTTCAAACCTATAAAGTTCAACAGTAAGCACCACCAGCATACATACTAGAGACCAGACAAGAACTACAATTTAGGAGCTGCAACTAGGATCTGAGCATCTTGAGAATGAAGAAAGGCAAGAGAGCCGGGAACGACGGCTCACGCCTGTAATCTCAGCACTTTGGGAGGCCAAGGAAGGTGGATAACAAGGTTAGGAATTCAAGACCAGCCTAGCCAGCATGGTAAAACCCCGTCTCTACTAAAAATACAAAAAGATTAGCCAGGCATGGTGGCGTGTACTTAGTCCCAGCTTCTCAGGAGGCTGAAGCAGGAGAACTACTTGAACCCAGCAGGCGGAGGTGACATAGCAAGCCTCCATCTCAAAAAAAAAGAAGAAAGAATTATTTCCTTTTACTTAAAAAAAAAAAATTATCTTTCAAATATTTGTTCGCTTCTCTCAAATCTGGCATTTAAACATAGTGATAAAGATATTGAATTAAGTTCACAAAATAAACTATATTTATTTATGGATATTGATTGCTAGGCTTCAAAATATACTATGAAATTGAATGTATCCTAAGATATTTACTAAAATGTTGATATCTAATCTTCCCAACACTCTCGCAAACAATGTTTTAGCCTGAGTCTCCAAGTTATCTTTTCACTTCCCTCAGCCTGTAAGGGCTAGATACAGAGCTAAAGAATAAAGCAAATACTGGCTTTAGCAATAAAGCCAGTAACATAATTTAAAGAGCTATCGGTATTTTTACTCAATTTTGTGCTATAAAAGTGTTGGATTCCCAGAACAAAGGTTGAAATTGTCTTATTCTTATCTATTCTATTGGTATTAGACCACTCTAGTGACTACTTTTATACATACATACATATATACATATATACATATGTGTGTTTGCGTGTATAGCTCATATTCTTTCCTTAAAGTGAAGAAGTACTCTAAATCGAATACTTCTCCAGAAGTTATTCTCCTTCTTGGTTCCAAAAGAAGCCTTAGATCATCACAAACTTGTGAGCTTGAGGCACAAAAAATTCTCTAAATCTCTCAGCCCATCCATGAGTTGACAATGACAAGGTGAAATGTGAAGGGTTAAACAAAGGTAATATTTTCAATATGTCACATTGGGAAGTACAGGTAAGAAGAATGCTATAAATATTAACAAATCCCTCACTTTAGATAAAGTGAATTCAAAGTAATTGTTGAACTATATTAATCTAGGAATACAATATTTGTAACTTGCTTAAAACAGGAATACTCCCTATAACAGGAGAGTCTGTTAAAGTATGAGGTCTTTCCTCATTTTTGTGTTATTCATATATTCTGCCACTTTTTCTTGTACATGCACAGTCTAACACATTCAAAAACTTCCAATTGCTACATTTATACCCATTAATCAATGATTACCCTAAAATGCCTTCCCAATGCCAAATTAATAGTTTAACTTTTAACAACTCTACAGAAATGCTACCTGCCAGTCTAAAGTTCAACGTCTGCAGCAGCACCATATTTATAACACAATGTTCCTAAAATTTCTTCAATACTTTACCATGCTATTCCCATTATAATCTTATATAAATGAGTAAAAATAACAAGAGCAGCAAAGGACTGATGCTAATAAGAACGGTAGGCCTCAAATCTTACACAATTAAGAAAATGATAAATATACTCATTCATTCAACAAATATTATTTGAGAACCTTCTGTGTACCAAGGATTAGTCTAAGTGCCAGAAATACAACAGAGAACATACAGCCTATACTCCAGCAAATGTAAGTTGAATGTGCTTGGGGATGGATGAGAGGGAATGATTAGGTAAGCTAAAAGCAGAAATGTTCAGTATCAGCTGGATACTTACTGGATTTAGCCCAATAATTCGAGTGTTTATGGAGGAAAAAAGAATCAAAGAATATGCTAGAAATACGTCATGGATTATGCCTACAAGGTCAAGGTGTAAATAGAGACTTTACTTTTACTGCTTTGGGTATTCTCCACTTCCTACTCCTAAATGAAATATAAAGTCTATTGTCTGCTTTTTATATATTTAGCTTCAGTGTATTTTTAAGAAAGCACTATATGTGAAAACAGGGGAACACCTGTATGTAATTTTGTATACACTGGTAGAATTAAACTCCAACTATATTTATTCTTTTTTCCCCTTTTCCATCCCTTCTTTTTCACATTCTTTACGTCAGATCAGCCAGCCTGTCATCTCAGAAGGGCATATCAAAAAAAAAAAATGTCAAAGAATTTGGCAAATTCTAAAGCAGATGGCAAGGCTTCAAGGAATTCTCTATAGAAAGGTTAAGTATACAAAGCTGAGCCAGAGTGATAGAGAATAATGAAGAAAAAAAAATAAGACTCCATCTTTCTCTCTTTTGGAGAAAGAACACAACAGTATATTAACTTCATTAACAGCAATCAAACTGCATTTAATACTATGTCTTACAAGTTGCCATTTCTACCAAAAGAGTTAAAATAAATTGTGAATTCTAGAGTCTGTGAATAAGCTGAAACAGTAATCCAAGAATTAACAAGATAAACTTTAGAAACAATGATTATCAGCATCTATAGTTCTTAGAACAAACTGGATAACCAATTACAGTTGTCTCTTGGTACCCATGGGAAATTGTTTCCAGGACCCCCCAAAACTCCCAGATACCAAAATCCACAGATGCTTAAGTCCCTTATATAATACTGTGTAATATTCACATATAGCCTACACACACCTTTCCATATACATTCCATATACTTGAAATATACTACAGATTTAGTAATCTCTAGATTACTTATAATACCTAATCGAATATAAATGCTATGTGAATGGTTTTTATACTGTTATCATTTAGGGAATAATGACAAGGAAAAAAGTCTATACATATTCAGTACAGATGAAACCATACTTTTTAATCGAATATTTTAAAGCCGTGGTTAGCTGAATCCGTGGATGTAGAAACCACAAATATAGAGGGCTGACTATACATCAAGAAAAGAAAATTAAAAACGCATTCCATGGCAAACACTTCATTATATATCATACTATTAAAACACATACACACACAAATAGTCTTGAATGGGCATTTTCTTTGCAGAAGGCAAAGGTTTATTGATAAATAATACAATCTTTCTCCAGAAAACAGTATCTATAGAAAACATTAAACACAAAACATTATATATCTATTTGAGTTTGTTGTTGTTTTTGAAGAGGTAGAAAGGAAAGCACATGTAGATATCTGGAATGAAGATACACCAAAATCTTAACTGTGGTAGAATTTTAAGGACCTTTTCTTTTCCTCTTTATTTCCGTATTTTCCAAATTCTCAAATATGTGTTACATGTTAAAGTTCAAACACCGCTATTAAGTAACAAAGTTATTTATTTAAAATAAATAACATAGCTAGTTTCTCCAAGATGAAGTCTTTTCATTAATACTGGGGAAAGATAACCCACTCTTTTAGAAACACCACGTATCAAGAAAATGTTCAACCAAAGCCAGGCATGGTGGCTCATGCCTGTAATACCAGCAATTTGGGAGGCTAAGGCAGGTGGATCATTTGCGGTCAGGAGTTCAAGACCAGCCTGGCCAACATGGTGAAACCTCGTTGCTACTAAAAATACAAAAAATTAGCAGGGCGTGGTGGCACGCGCCTGTAGTTCCAGCTACTCGGGAGGCTAAGTCAGGAGAATCGCTTGAACCTGGGAGGCGGAGATTGCAACGAGCCAAGATCGTGCCACTGCACTCCAGCCTGGGAGACAGAGTGAGATTCCATGTCAAAAAAAAAAAAACAAAAAAAAGTTCACCCAAGAAATAAATGCGAAAAATCATTCTATGGAAGGTACCTTGAAAGGTATGTATTAAAATTTTAAAAACAACTAGCTCAAATATATTATTCATGGGAAGGAGCTAAAATAAGAGGCACATTACCAAGAAACTTTTTAAAAATCATAAAACTCGATTTAAGGAAAACACTAACAAGACAATTTCTGAATTGTCTTCCAAAATGAGGCATTTAGCTAACATACCAATTCAATAAATATTTGTTTAGAAATGATATTTTCCACCAGGTGCAGTGGTTCATGCCTGTAATCCCAGCACTTTGGGAGGCTCAGGCAGGTGGATCACCTGAGGTCAGGAGTTCAAGGGCAGCCTGACCAACATGGTGAAACCCATCTCTACTAAAAATACAAAATTATCCAGGCATGGTGATGCGTGCCCTGTAACCCCAGCTACTTGGGAGGTTAAGGCAGGAGAATCGCTTGAACCCAAGAGGTGGAGGCTGTAGTGAGCCAAGCTTGCGCCACTACACTCCAGCCTGGGCAACAAGAGCAAAACTCCATCTCTTAAAAAAAAAAATAAAAAAAAAAGAAAGAAAAGAAATAATATATTCCCATGCAAGGAACAGGTTTTCTTTTATACAGTGTCATATTGGCAACCCCAAGAAAAAAACAATACAATAAGAATAAGTATCTTCCCAATGATTCCCTTGATATTTATCAAGAAATACCTCTGAATGCCTTTAACACCAGATGATAAAAACCATGCCTCTATAACACTCCAAGAGTTTCTAAAACTGACAAATACCCTAAAACATACAAATATCATCAAAATCTGCTGTGAATAGAATGGTTACACTGGCTAGTAGAAATAAAATCTTAAAAAGACTCAACACTTTAAAAGTATATTTTAAAAGTTTTATATAATATATCCATAAAGATGCAACAAGAACAGGTGTCTCCTTGGATTTTTTTGACTACGCTTTCTGACACCTTGCTTGGTCTGCAATTCTTCAGCAGAAGCCTAGCATATCATTCTCCTTGTACAAACATCATTGACCTCAAGATACTTCTGGCTGGACTGTCCAAATCTTTTGCCATAGATTACCAAAATCTACTCCAGCAGTGTCCTGCAGAAGCACATCCAAGTGCTGCAAGTCAAATGCGTCCTAACTCTTCTGTGGGAACTCCTAATCCTTGTGTCACAGGTGTCCAAGAGAGCCATCACCCTCACTGAAATTCCCTTCTACCACTGTTGGTGCCTACTGTTTGAAGGGTTTTACAGTGAACTAAGCATCACAGTGACAGTAGTGGCAGCCATGCTGGCTACTCCTGCTTCAGAAATCTTCCTTTAACTGACAAACCTCTTCAGCTCTCATCCACAAACTCTGCAGAAAAAAAAAAAAGAAAAAAAGAAAGAAAGAAAAAAATTGGCATTGCTGCACAGTATATACTTAAGCAGTAAGAATGTCTGTCACCTGGTTCCTGAACTATCTGTGCCAATTGTGTCCATCAACAGGGACTCAAATACCAAAGACCAAAGGTGTTCACCACAGAACAGAAAACTGGGAACCAGACAACAGATGACCAGTAAATGTAACTAAAAGACTTCAGATTCAATTAAAAAAAAAAAAAAAAGACTTCAGATTAATTAAAAGCACAATTATTTTTTTAGAGCAGAGAGGAAGATGTTGGACAGTTTCTGTAAAAGGGTCAGGTAAAACACAAAACATAACTGGAATGCAAGCTATGTTACCAATAAATCCCTTTATAAAATATAACTAAAATATATTTTTAAACATATTTTTTAAATGTTTTATAAATGTATTTTTAAACATATTTTAAAAATCTACATTTGTGTTTTATAATATGTAAGCAACAGGAAAGTTATTACTGAAAACTGTATGGCTCTTCAAAGTCAGAGACTTCCATTTGAAACCCAGCTCTATCACCTAGTCTCTTAGCCACAGGATAAACAATGGATAACCATACAATTTATCATCCAAACCACAACACTTTTGAGAATATAAATGAGAGTATTAGTAATAACCTGGACAATAAGCACAAGGTAAAACTGCTCCAGGCAAAGAGAAACATAAAGTCACTTGTCTAACAAGTACAACCTGGTCATGGGTTGCTATGAGTATCAAACGGATGCTTAGCACAGTGCCTGGCATAAGCTCTCAATTTATACTGGGTTATTCCTCATTTAGAACTGATGTCTCATTCATTACCTGGAGAAGGATTTTTAAAACTTTTTTAAAAGAAATTATGTCTCATAATAAGGTTTAACAACCACTGTCATGTATTTCTCCTTTAAACATTTTACCACTAATACCCCCAAAATATAACACTTTCTAAAACACACTGTAAAAATTAATTTAAATAATAGACGGAAATAACCTGCAATGGAACAAATATGCTCTCTAGAAATAGAATTGATATTATTTAATACTATATCCAAAACGTTCTGGCTAAGAATTTCCCACAATTTTTTCCACTGCTTACCTACCATGAAAGCTCTCAAAAATAACAAACATTTCCCCTACTCTAAACCCAAGTGGATGCCACAATCCAAAAGACAGTTTCATACCATCGGTTATGGAACCCTCTTGCGGCAATTCAGTTTCCTTCTGCAGCAGCATTTCTCTCTCTCTCTAAGCAGCAGGTTCTCCAGGTCTTCAAAGCTCATTTTCTTGCTGTTGAGCTCCAGTGATTCAGAAATCACACAGGTGTGTTAAGTGATGGCTGCCAACATGAAATGCCAGGATTCTACCATCTGCTTCCCCACCTCTGCAGTGGAGTTCGTAAGGATCAGAAACAGCCCCCCTCATTCACAAAAACACATAAATTCTTTCAGCGTATTTATATTCACTGTCTACTAAATGTGAGGCACATTAGCAGATTACTTATTCTCTCTCCTATCTATCAGACCATTTTGAACAAGAAGTCAGTAAACACACAGATATATAAGTGCTGGGATAAAATAGATAAAGCCCTATCTAAAAAAACAAAACACAAAACTTCAACTTCTTTCCTAAGGCATGGGTTCTGACAGAGAATTTCTACAATTACAATCTAAATTATATGTGTCTGTGCATGTTCACTTTAGTGTAAAACAAACTGATGACCAGGGCACAAGAATTGACATACCCATCATGCTTTATATCAAACTCATAGAAATCTACATTTCCATGAATTTCCATTTTGTGGCCAGAAATAAACTCAAAACTCCTGTTAATAGAATGAATTATTCATGTTTCATGATAGAGACTAGAATAACTATTGCTTTCAACATTTTTTTTATTTTTTCACAAGCAAACATACCTGAGACATTCCCATCCATGCCCATTATGAATGCCTTTGAAATGGTTACAAGTACTGTCAAACAGTGCAACATTTTAAAATTGGAAATAATTCAATAGATGTAGAAAAGATTTTCCTATGTATGTAACAGCATTTAATCTATATCACTTCTCCTAACAATAATCTACCAATTAATAATTGCTATAAACAACTTACTACCATTTTCAAAAGACTACAAGTTGTTATACCTGCTCTATGTGAGCATTTATTTTTAATTAAGCCAGTTCTCTGGAGTAAAACATAGCCTAGGCGTGAGAAAGCACAAAACAAATAATCACCAGTGAAAACCACAGAGATCAATAAAATAAGCTTAATGCAATATCTAAATGAAAGCAATATGCAACTATCAAGCCCATCAGAGAAGAGGTATTGTTACAGGCACTCCTTTAAATCACATGGACCAATCTACTAGGGCAAACTAATAAGAGAGCTGCAAAAATAGTCTCCCTTCTGAGCATAAGCAATTTACTAACTTGGTAAGGTGGAAGGGCAGCTCATCCATTTCTGTATTTCTATGACACTTGCTAAGCTGTGAGTGCCCTACGTAAGCAGATATAGCAGACTTAGCTTTCCGTTAAGTTTTATGTCATTACAAATATTAATTTTGTCTTTAGAAACATACTCCAAATTTATGTAATGTATTTATATGACAGTGAAATTAGAGCTCAAAAATATTAACCTAATTCATCTCTATGGCAAATTGCTACACTGTATTATACTTACTGCCTCTTTAATTTCACAGGAGAAAACATGGATCTGAAATTCTTCTGAACCATGGGAACTCTCTGTAAATGCAAAGCAATCGCTCTCTGTTGTTCCATCATGTCCACGTGCACAGAATAACACCTTATAGATTGGAAAAGATGCTATCTCCACATTGCTGGATTGGTCTATGATTCTGTAGAACAGTAATCAAAAGTTAGATAAAATATTAACTATCAAAGAAGAAATAAAAACTATCCTATTTCCAGTTTGGTTTTTTAAAAAAGAACAAAGACAAATATTTTTACTATGACAATATAAGATATATAACCATAACTATCTTTTGATTTTTGAGACAGAGTTTCGCTCTTTCCCTTAGGCTGAAGTGAAATAGCCCATCTTGACTCACTGCAACCTCCGCCTCTGAGTTCAAGTGATTCTCCTGCTTCAGCCTCCCGAATACCTGGGATTACAGGTAACTGCCATCACACCCAGCTAATTTTTGTATTTTTAGTAGAGACACGGTTTCGCCATGTTGGCCAGGCTCATCTCAAACTTCTGACCTCAGGTGATCTACCCACCTCAGCCTCCCAAAGTGCTAGGATTATAAGCATGAGCCACTGAGCCCAGCCAAACATAACTAACTTAAAATCACAAAAATAAACTGAAACTAACAAAGCAAGAGAGAACAAATTATCCTCATATTCATAACACACACACACACACACACACACACACAGAGGTATATATATATATAAATTCTTCATCATCTTCTGACAATTTCTTCATTCTTGTGTTTCCTATGATCCAACTTATTTACTCCAAAGCTAAATATACATGCCTGGTAACATCTGTATCACCCATCCCTAAAGTCTTGCCTTTTTCTGTTACGGCAAAAGGAATGCCAGTATAGAATACTACAAACTATCCCTGGAGAGTCCACTTTTATTCAGAGCAGCACCTACTAGTTTATCTAAGCCCCAATTTATTGTTCAACTGAGGCCCTTTGTACTACAGAAAAGGTCAGGTGGTTCCAAAGATGAATTCAACAATGGAACATAAAAGCTGAAAGGAGTCTGTGGGATTTAAAGTCGAATAATTCTCTGACTTTCCCTACACAAATCCTTACTCCTGGCTGGGCGCAGTGGCTCACACGTGTAATTCCAGCACTTTGTGAGGCCGAGGTTGGTGGATCACTTGAGGTCAGGAGCTCGAGACCAGCCTGACCAACATGGAGAAACTCCATCTCTACTAATAATACAAAAATTAGCCAGGCATGGTGAGAAGGCACCTGTATTTCCAACTACTCGGGAGGTCGAGGCCTAAGAATCACTTGAACCCAGAAGGCAGAGGTTTCAGTGCTCCGAGAACATGCCACTGTACTCAAGCCTGGGCGACAGACTGAAACTGTGTCTCAAAAACAAAACAAAACGAAAAATCAAATTTTAAGTCCTGGATTGATCTAAACATTCAACACCCCTTCAAGACCTCAAATTCAGAAACTGAGGGGTAAGGGGACAACCCCAGGAATAAAAAGCAAGTCAATACACTAAATCTCTGTCAAGGTGTATTTGGCAAATTGAAGCTAAACAGACAACAAAGAAGACATTTTGAAAACAATTTTTCTTTGAAAAGATATTTTGACATTTTTAGAAGATAACATATAAATAATATACATGCAAAATCCTTTCCTGGAAAACTCAAAGCATTTTTACCACAACACTCTAAATTTACATTGCTTTTATTCTGGTACTCAGAACTTAGCTAAAGTTTTCCCACATTCTAAACTTTAGAGAATGAGGCAAATCAGCAAGTGTTTTAGAAAGATTAAAGCAACTTACAGGGAATATTCCAGGTTCAAGGCAAATTCAACTTCATTTCCTTGACCTGGTCTGCTTATTTGTTCATTCAGCAAATATTTGCTAAAATCTTGCAATGAGTCACTTAACTTCCCTAGCCACTGAAGCTACAGCAGGGAAAAATACAAAGAACCTATTCTCACAAGCTTATAATCTAGTGAGGAAGATATCCAATAAACTAATAAGCTAATAAATGTAATATAATATCAACTCAAAGAAAAGTGCTACGAAGAAAAAGAAAAAAGGCCCAGTATGAAGAAGAGAGTTACATGACGTAACCAAGGAAAACTTCTTATGATAAAATGTTTACAGAGTTGAAACTGAAGAGAAACAGAAAAAAACATTGGAAAATCAGGGAAAGATTACTTAGGGAGTATAAAGATAATATGCCAAGGTCCGGAGGTGGGAATTGTGACTGATAAGTCCTATGAGAATAAATAAAGGGCTAGTTATGACTGGAATATAGTGAATGATGAGAGAGAAAGGGAGAGGACAGTGGTACTAATAATGCAAGAAAACAGATTATCTTCATATTCTTGCATATCTTACACACACACACACACACACATATACAATTCTGCATCTTCTTTGGATGAATGAAGAGAGAGAAGGGAGGAGGGATACAGAAGGACAGAGAGAGAGAGAGAGAGAGAGAGAGAGAGAAACGAGTCCTCTTGAATGAGATTAGTATCCCTATAAAAGAAACCCGGGGCTGGGCATGGTGGCTCACATCTGTAATCCCAGCACTGTGGGAGGCTGAGGCGGGCAGATCACCTGAGGTCAGGAGTTCGAGACCAGCCTTTTCAACATGGAGAAACCCCTTCTCATAAAAACACAAAATTAGCCAGGCGTGGTGGTGCATGCCTGTAATTCCAGCTACTCAGGAGGCTGAGGCACGAGAACTGCTTGAAGCCAGGAGGCAGAGGTTGCAGTAAGCTAAGATTGCACCATTGCACTCCACCCTAGGCAACAAGAGTGAAACTCAGTCTGAAAAAAAAAAAGAAAGAAAGAAACCCCAGAGAGCTCTTACATTCTCTTCCACCATGTAAGAATACATGAACCAGGAAGCAGGCCCTCACCAGACACCAAATATGCTGGAGTTTTGATCTAGGAACTCCCAACCACTAGAACTATGAAAAATAATTATCTATTGTATGTTAACCACCAGTCTATGGCAGTTTGTTATAGCAGCCCAAATAGACTAAGAAGAAAGAAAGGAAGGAGGAAGAGGGGAAGAACAAGTTGGAGCAGTAGGTCAACAGTGGCTATCATGATAAGGATTTCAAATATAACTGCAAGTGTGACTGAGGCAAAGGCTGAATGTGGGAGAGTAACATTACCTGACTTTTTTTTTTAATTAAGATGGGGTCTCTGTCACCCAGGCTGGAGTGCAGTGGCATGATCTTGGCTTACTACAACCTTCGTCTCCCAGGTTTAAGTGAGTCTCCTGCCTCAGCCTCCCAAGTAGCTGGGATTACAGGCATGCACCACCATGCCTTGCTAATTTTTGTATTATTTTGGCCAAGCTGGTCTTGAACTCCTGACCTCAAGTGATCCACCCGCCTCAGGCTCACAAAGTGCTGGGATTACGGGCATGAGCCACCGCACCCAGCCCTGACTTAAATTTAAAGAAATTAAAAGTTCGGATGACATAATGTATTATTTCTAATTAAGCAAAAGAGAAAAAAGTCATTTTGCTTCTTTACAGTCTAATGTAAATAACTTAAAATCTATGACTCACTCCAGTTTCTCTGAACCACTATTACTTGACAAGCTGAAGGCAGATATTTATTCTCATTCAGGATAGAAAAATACACATTACAACTATTTTTATAGTTGTATTTCTATTTATAATATTCTAAGCATAATTGTTGATATGGGTTTGGATCTGTGGCCCCACCCAAATCTCATGTCAAATTGTAATCTCCAATGTTGGAGGTGGGGCCTGGTGAGAGGTGACTGGATCATAGGGGCAGTTTCTTATAAATGGTTTAGCACCATGTTCTCGCTCATAGGTGGGCGTTGAACAATGAGAACACATGGACACAGGGAGGGGAGCATTACACACTGGGGTCTGTCGGGGGGAAACAGGGGAGGGAAAGCAGGGGGTGGGGAGTTGGGGAGAGATAGCATGTGGAGAAACGCCAGATATAGGTGATGGGGAGGAAGGCAGCAAATCACACTGCCATGTGATTTGTGTGCACCTATGCAACAATCTTGCATGTTCTTCACATGTACCCCAAAACCTAAAATGCAATAAAAAGATAAAAATAAAAAATAAATAAAATAAATAAAAATAACTGGTTTAGTACCATCCCCTCGGTGCTGTTCTCATGATAGTTAGTTCCATGAGACCTGGTTGTTTAAAAGTGTGTGGCACCTCCCCCACTCTCTTGCTCTTACTCCTGCTCCTGCTCCTGCTCCTGGCTCCTGCTCCTGCTCCTGCCATGTAAGATGACTCTGCTTCCCCTTGCCTTCTGCCAAGACTGTAAGTTCCTGAGGCCTCCCTAGAAGCTGAGAAGATGGCCAGCATCATGCTTCCTATATAGCCTGCAGAACCAAGAGCCAATTAAACCTCTTCTCTTTATAAATTATCCAATCTTAGGCATTTATTGCAGTGCGAGAATAAACAACTGTTTAAATGCTCCTTTCAAACAGTGAACAGTCTAAACCTAAATATGTTTACTTTGCATGTCTACAGTGTGAGTTCACAGTAAGTCCTACACGTGGTGATGCTATAACATCCTCGCCACCACCCAACAGACTTACTTAATACATGACTAAAGAAAAAAACTTAGAACTTACCTCACAGAACCTTCCGGTACATTTGGCACATACAGGGTAACAGGAAAGGGGTACTGACTGGAAGATTTCATGGTTGCCATTGCCCGTAAAGCCTCCACTTCATTACGTGGGGAAGAAACCTTCATACATCCTAAGTAGGTCAGTTTATTAAATAAAACACTGTCTTCTTCAGGTAGTCCACCTGGAGAAGATGATCTGGGTGTAGAAATTTCTGAAGAAACAAAAAAGAAATATTCAAAAGTCAATGCAAAACTCCACCATCATTATAATCTAGCCAATGCCCACAAAGAAATGAAATATTTCAAACAAAATATAGGTCTCTCTGTATTTTCATTTCTTTTGTATTTTAAATTTTTAGGATTTAAAATTTAGGATTCTAGGATTTTAAAATACTAAATCTTATGTCAGAGTTCCAGAGGAGCCAGCCATTTCGTACTCTCAGATCTCTCAAAATATTATCCTACTCAGCTATAATTCTTCAGATGAGAGAAAAAAATTTAAGCTTTATATTTTAAAAAATCAAAAATACAGAGTACAAGTATGTGAAAGAAAATAGACCCTCTGGTCTCCAAACTCACTATGCCAGAGCAAAAGATAAGCCTGGGAACTGAGGCACAATATTGTCCTTCTTTTGATCCCAAACAGATAGCTGCGTCACAGGCCTGTGTCATGGCCTAATCCATACGCCAGGGCACATATCTTCCCAGATGGCTTCCCTCACAGATTACTCACAAGGAAATTCCTTGTGAGCTTGTAAGCCCCTAAATCTTTTAAGATATGTATCCTCCCATAAACTAGCTCTACAACTGAGTTCTGTCAAATCTCATCCTGCCAATGTCAATTATCAGCTTACAACTGAGTTCTGTCAAATCTCATCCTGACAATGTCAATTATCAGCTTATCTTCACAGACACAGGAGACAAGATCAGAAACCATCCCTTCACCTACACTAAGATGAATGCATAACTGACTTTTTCCTCTACTCCCTCTTTTCACATGTAAAATATAGATTTATGAGGATAGTCGGAGGCTCACAAGAATGTAACCACTTGCCTCACTGCCCACCTTTCCCTCTTTAACTTCTGCTTGCACTTTCCCCTTTAAACACTGAAGTTCTCAAAAGCCCTCTAGAAAAGCACAGGTCACAGTTGCTACTGTGGCTTATGTTTTTCCCAGGCACATACTAAACCCTTGACTAAATAAACCTCTATCAACTGAGACCTGCCACTTTTGGGTTAACAAGTGATATAGAACAATATGGAGAGAAAACTATGCTAAAGATAGTGTGAATTAGGCCAAAAATAATGAGGATTAAATAAAAGCAAATCAGTTTAGTTTCTCTTGACTGTAAAGATCCATCATTGCACCACGTTTATTAAGCAGACTAACTTTTTAAGCAAAAAAAAAAAAAAAGCAACGTTAAAATGTTACATCTCATACCCACAACAAGCCTCAAGCTCCTTATCTCACTCATTCCTGGTTTGCTGGCTTCTATGAACTATGTAAGTGCTCCAATGGAATATTTTTTCTCAAAATAATTATTTTCAATGAACGAATCTATGACTGCTTCATCCAATTCCATCCTCATCATAATGAATTTCTTAAAAAAAAAAAAAAAACTGTTCATTTTATTCTAAAATAAATGCAGGCAGCAAAGGTCCAATTGTGGTTGGAGAGCATCTATCTGCATGTATAAGGTAGTATAACATTCTCCCTTCATGTCCCCACCTAAAATCCACATTCTGCTTATCTCAAATGCTTCCCTTCTGTGACTTACATTGGTGCTGCACAAAATTAAGCATACATGTATCACTTGAACTAGGTTCTTGCAGCATTTTCAGACTGCCATTACCTAGATTCCTCTTGCAGGATAGGATTTTAATAAATAATTCACAAAAGCCATTTCAAATTCCCCCACTCCAGCTCCTAAATATTATGCTAAAATATGAAACTTCACCACCACTAACTTTTTTGTTAAAGAATTAAAGCCATTCAAAATGAACTACTTCATCTACATGCTCTTCAACCACTGAAACATGTTTTTCTCCTTTTTTCAGTCAGTTCAATAGAATGTATTTCAAAAGGGACAAATAAAAAACTACAAATACATTTTAATATGTTTAAATTATTTGTTTTGTATATTATATACATATATGTTATTACCTATTTTTCTTAATGTAACAAGCACTTATGCAGCAACAATAAGAATGATGAGCCTGAGTGATTAAGTAGTTCAAGTGGTCTAACATATGTGTAACTAGAGTCTTAAAAAAAGAAAAAAGGCCCGGCACAGTGGCTCACGCCTGTAATCCCAGCACTTTGGGAGACGGAGGTGGGCGGATCATGAGGTCAAGAGATTGAGACCGTCCTGGCCAACACGGTGAAACCCTGTCTCTACTAAAAATACAAAAAAATTAGCCGGGCATGGTGGCACACGCCTGTGGTCTCAGCTACTCGGGAGGCTGAGGCGGAAGAATCACTTAACCCAGGAGGCAGAGGTTGCAGTGAGCCGAGGTTGCAGTGAGCCGAGATTGCAACACTGCATTCCAGCGTGGTGACAGAGCAAGACTCTGTCTCAAAAAATAATAAAATATATAAGCTGAGTGGGAACTAAGGAGAACCAATAAAAATAATATAAGTAAAAAAGAGAAAAGGGGAGGCCAAACAGAAGTTGTTTGAAGAGGTACTTCGCAAATCTGTGTAACCCAAGATTCATGACTCTATTAGACCCCAAATATAAAACAGTACAGAAACTGATCCAAAAATAACAAATGAAAAAGTTGGCAGATAAGGCCTATACAGTGACTATTATAAATATGATCAAGGATTAAAGAAAAACATCTAACAAAATAAGAAGAAAAATGAAAGACATAAAAAAGAACCAAAACAAATTCTAAAGCTGAAAAAATATAAGATTTGAAGCGAAATATGCCCTAGATAGATATAATAGCAGTTTCTAAACTGCAGAAGAAAAGAGGAATGTTAAAGGAAGTTCCTTGGGCTACAGGAAAATGATACAGAGAAAACTGAAGAGCACCAGTAGGAGAAAAAGACCTATTTCTTAGATTTATAATTTCTTCAGAATATAACAGACTACCCCTTCCACACTCTTCGTGGAAGCCTTTCTCTTCTCCTTTCATTCTCTTTTCTCTACCTAAATACAATCAACTTTCTGCAAAAACAAACAAACAAACAAAAACAAAAACAAAAAAACACCACAGACTATTTAAAGTTAAAAAAAAGAAAACCCATAGTATTTTGGAGAATTTGTAACATATACATTAGCAAAATGAATGACAGCAGAAGCACGAAGTCCAGAAGGTAACAAAAGATTCTTACAACCTACATGAAGTGTTATGACACTATTAGAATATACATGTGTTAAAGACCTGGGTTATAAACCCCAGAGCAATCACTAAAACAATAAAACAAAATTACATAGCTAATGTGCCAATAATGGAGATAAAACACAACATTAAAAAGTAATCTAGAAGAAGGCAGGAAAGGGAGGGAAAAAAAAAACAGAAGAGACAAAGAGAAAACAAACGGCAAGAGAGTAAGTACATTTAGATCCAAATATATTAAAAATTACATCAAAGGAAATGGTCAAAAAGCTCATATGGTAAATATTTTAGGTTTTGTGGGCCAAGAGACAAAATCCACAATATTATGCAAGTATTTATACAAGTGAGAAAACAACCTTCCACAGACTTTTTTACAAAATTTAAAACTTAGTTATGAATACTGAAATTTGAATTTCATGTAAGCTTCATGTGTCACAATATTATTCTCCTTTTGACATGTCTCAATCATTTAAAAATGTAAAAATAATTTCTACTTTGCAAGCCACACCATAAACAAGTAGGAATGGAATTTGGCCCACAGATAGTAGTTTGCTTACCCTAGTCTAAATCCAACTAAAAGACTGAGATTGTCAAACTGGATTTTAAAAAGCCAACTGCAACAAACACACTTTAAAGAAAAAAGTAGGTAAAAAGTTGTTGTTGTTGTTGTTGTTGAAGGAAAAAGAAAAATATATACCATGTAAACACTAATTATAAGAAACCAAAGGTGGCTATATTAATATAAGAAAAACAAAAACAAAAACAAAAAAAAAAAAAAAAAGAAAAACGCCGGGCGCGGTGGCTCAAGCCTGTAATCCCAGCACTTTGGGAGGCCGAGGCGGGTGGATCACGAGGTCGAGAGATCGAGACCATCCTGGTCAACATGGTGAAACCCCGTCTCTACTAAAAATACAAAAAACTAGCTGGGCGTGGTGGCGCGTGCCTGTAATCCCAGCTACTCAGGAGGCTGAGGCAGGAGAATTGCCTGAGCCCAGGAGGTGGAGGTTGAGGTGAGCCAAGATCGCACCATTGCACTCCAGCCTGGGTAACAAGAGTGAAACTCAGTCTCAAAAAAAAAAAAAAAGAAAAGAAAAGAAAAGAAAAACTAGACTTCAGAACAAGGAATTTTAAAAAGAGAAAAAGATATTTCACAATGCTAAAATGATCAATTCATTAGGAAAACACAACAATTCTAAGTGACTATGCCCTTAATGGCAGAACTTCAAAATAGTTGAAGCAAAAACTAGCAGAACTCAAGATGATTGAACTGGGCCAGTCAAGCTGAAGTGATAAATCTGTTATAATTTATCTCTTCTACAGATTATACCTGAAAACTCTTGACAGAATCTAAAAAGCAACTACCTGAGGACTTTCTTTCTTTTTTTATTGAGGACCCAGACATAGTCCATGTTCCCAAAGAACATTAAGACCTGATTTTATAGGCAGAGATACAGGCAGAAACATAAGAACACCAAAGCAGAAACTCTCAATGAGAATGCAAAGCTTGAAAACAGCTAATAGTTTTTTCTGATTTTCATCTTAAAATTTTCACTATTACTTTATCCTAATTCTTTAATAGTTTCTAAGAAATCAATACAGTACCTGTGTTAGATGGATCCAAAATTAACTGAAGAGATGGCTTATTGGTTTGGCTGACTGGAATATCTCCAAACGAATGATCTGAAATCTCACTGGAACTTTGACAGTCAACAAGAAGACTGCTTTGCCTTTTCTCAGAATCTCTCAAAATCTCTTCCATGGCTTTTTCCAATTGTTCATCACCATTAGAAACTATCTACAGACAGTGCAAGACAATTCTGTTTTAATTCTATTACAGTTCTGAAGCTAAATTTTACGAAAATATTTCATTTCTAAAAGAAATTAAAACCATCTAAATATTTAAATATGGTTACTAAACACTAAGAAGTTGTACAGTTATACCTAATTTCAAATACATAATACATTAAAATCCTGATTATAAAACTAAATTAGAGGAAGATTACTAGTTTCACAAATGGATTCTTTATAAAACACTTAAAGCAGTTTCCAACTACATTTCATATCAGATCCTATTAACAGAGATGTATTTATCTTTTTTTCCCCTTTCTTTGAGACAGAGTCTCACTCTGTCACCCAGGCTGGAGTGCAGTGGTGCAATCTCGGTTCACTGCAACCTTCACCTCCTGGGTTCAAACAATTCTCATGACTCAGTCTCTTGAGTAACTGGGACTACAGGTGTGCACTACCACACTCAGCTAATTTTTGTATTTTTTGTAGAGACAGGGTTTCACCATGCTGGCCAGGCTAGTCTTGAACTCCTTACCTCAAGCAATCCACCCACCTTAGCCTCCCAAAGTGCTAGGATAACAGGCATGAGCCACCACGCCCGGCCCTTCTTTTTCCTTTTTAGGAACACAGCCTAAAAATCTGAAAACCTTATATTTATATGTCTAAAGGGAAAAATAGATAAATTTAAATAGACAGCTCTATTACAAATATCACTTAAAAGGTCACATTGCTTATCATAGCATAACCGTATTTCTGATTTCTTTACAAATTGTTGGCTAGCTCCCAAGATGAGTATTGCTAATTTCCTTACACTTAAGTTGATACATAAGTTTTTCAAAGGCAGGTGAGACACAAAGCCTAAGCAAATAAATGATGTCTTAAACACAAGAATGCTAAAATACAGATATCTAAAAATAAATAAAGCCATTAATGATTTAAATTAAATTATAAAACAATATATTCTCAACATAAGCATTTAGTAACCTCATTTCTAGAATATATTTTATTAGACTGATATACTACTACACCTTTGATCCCATAGTTAATACTAAACAAAAGTCATAAATAATTGGTAGCACTTTTAACTAATTTTCCTATTCCTGTTTCTAGAGGACAGTTATACTGTTTTGAAGCCTATGCAACTGAGTTGGCTTGCTTCCTTTTCTCTGACTTTTGAAAGTGCAACACAAAAGTGAAAAAGAAAAGGGATCGTATCTAAATAAAAATTCAAATGCTAAAAATATACGATGTATGCTTTAAAAACATTCAGACAAGTTAACTTAAATTACACAACAGAACATTATCAACTGATTTAAAATGTAAAATCATAAAAGAAAAAGTTTCTCAAATGAAAGCAAAACATTTAACTTCTAAAACCCAGCAGTAAGAGAAAAAAAAAATCCAGATAAAGTAATGTAAAACAAACTTAATGTCTAATTCACCAATTATCCTTTCCCTTCCTGTTCCTCTTTCATTCTTCCCCCTAAAATTCCAAATTAAAAGGTAAATAACCAAAAGCAAGAACTTTTTAAAATACACAAACCAAATAATTAGGCTCTGCATAAATCAAGCACATTTTATTCTGAAAGTCAGCACCTGAGAAAAACCTTCGGATTTTACACATCTCCTCAGCTAAGTTTCAAACAGTTTTTTTTTTTAACATTAAAAATTGTACCATATGTACAAAAGAAAAAAAAATACCTTCAGTTGAGGTTTTTCTTCATGTTTTGTAGAATTATCATCTGCATATTGAGGAACCAAAACAAATTCTTCACTGTTCATTGTAGCCACAGAATCAGATGATCCACTAACCTTCTGTAATGAAGCTCTGACCTCCATTTCAGTTCTTTAAACTTCTCTTCCCACATCCACCTGGAAAAACTAAAAGGATTTTTTTTTAAAAAGTACTGATTAAAAACATGAAGCTTTAAAAGTGGTATATGTGAAGAAGAATCCTGCTGGCTAGATAATTATCTCAAAATTAGGGAGGCTACTTTCTTGGACTGAGCCACTAAATGGAAATGTACTCTCTCTTCATCCTAAGTTTCCAGACTAATAGAGCCATATTGTTACCTAAATACTTAGACACACCAGTCCATAACTCAACCAAACAGATTTATCACTGTTTACTTGACACACTCTCTCTCATTTCTCTTAGAAATACTGTTTTATTTTCTTTTTAATAGAGGAAATAATTAAATGATACTAGAAATACCTACAAATCCATGCACAGACACAAAACCATATTCACTGAGACTGCTTTATTAATTAAATCTAAATGCTTAAAAAAAAACTTATCTCCTCAAGACCAAATACTGTACCTGCGAATATTTTTTCTAAGTAACTAAAGTTGATTAATACAGAATTCAACATTCTAAGACATATAGCTTCTCTTTCCTGACACATTATTACTTATTAACACCAAAAAGAAAAAGGAAAAAAGCTTCTATATTGCATTCACGTAGCAAATAATGTTTCGGTAATCAAACACAGCATAACTCTGTTTTCTGGATAGCTCTCTACAGCACAGAAACAATACTCACTATCATATCCAGAAGTTCATGTACTCAGATACTAAGTTTAACTGAAGACCTGTATTATATAACAGACACAACTCAGCCCTGAGGTTACATAAGTGAACAAGGCAGACAAGTAGCCTGCACTTCTGGGGCTTATATACTAGTGAGGAAACAAACAAGAAAGTGATTCCAAGTCACTCTGAAGGCTGTGCAGAAAATAAACACATTAATGTGACAAATAGTAGCTGTGGGAAGTATAGGGACAAATTGAGGTGGTAAGAAAAAACTCTGAGAGGAAAATATCTGAGCCTAAACCTGAAAGGCAGAAAAAGAACCCTTTCTTGTGTAATAACACAATCTGCTCAGTGACCAAATGAGTAATAGAGGGGCAGGAAAAGCAGGCTGGGGCTAACACACACAGGACCTTGTAAACCATAGTAAGTCTACTGATTCATGCCTAAAATCCTCCCAGAAATGCTATTTTTCTAATTAGGTTACCTTTTTCATTATAGCCTACAAATATAGCTGCAATATTCCATTCTGCCATTAGGTGACACTAACACCATTACTCTTGGCAATAGACTGATTCCAGCTTCAGGTTTACATGTGTATCTTTTAAAAAGTAAGCACTTTCAAACTTTATTAAAAAATCAAAATTTTCAAGACTGTCAAAATAAATAACAAAGATACTGTTGAACCAGTGTAATTAGCTAGCCATCATTTATTTTGTTATGCATGTTAATACCCTTTTTAAAACCTTTCAAGCAACATTGATCTGTCCTCTGGTTTTTTCTCACTTTGTATATTATGCTTCTAAAACGGCAGAATTTGTTACAAGCCAGGTCTTTACTCTTCCAGAAGGCACTATTAATCCTTAACTGGCAACATATTCCAGATGTCTTTCTTTGGTCAGTCCTTCAAGCCCTTCTCAGGTTGCTGCTCCTCTACCTGATTTCTAAATGCTGGAAATCCCGAGTTCAGATGCTGACCCTGTTTCCCTTGCCATATATTCACTCTAAGAAATATCTCTCATTGTCATGGACTAAAATATCATCTACAGGTCTCCCAAATTTCTATTCCAACTCAAATGTCTTCTTTAAATTCCTGCCCTGAAATCCAGCTCTCTACTTGATTTTTCCACGGAGAAAGAAGCCTTATCAGTATCTTAAATGAAATGTGACCAAAATGGAATTCCTCATGTCTCCTCCAAACTTGTTTCCAGTCCCGATTTAGTGTTTCAGTAAATAACACCACCATCTTCTACAAAGTTACTTGAACAAAAAACTTGGATATCATCCTTGATTCGTCTCCACTTCTTCACACCTCACATCAGCCCCACTTCCAAAATAAGCCTCACATCTATCCATTTTTCTGTCTACTACTACTGCTACCACTCTACTACAAACAATGCTCTTATTTACAATAAAAGCCTCCTAACCCATCTTCTATTTCCAGTCTTCTTCCCTCAATCTATGTCATTGTTCACAAAGCTGCCAAAGAAACTTTTTGGAAAATAAATTAGATTACATGAAAACTCAAGACCAAAACCTTTTCACTAAAATTTAAATAAAATTTAAACTACTTCCCAATACTTACAAGGCCCAATATACCCTTGCCCCAACCATCTTCTCATTATAATTCCTTAATCACAGCAAGTTCCAAGACACGCAAAAACCAAGAATAATCACTGCCAGCACATCTGACTTGAAAGAAAGATTAAAAGTGGTTCTTCAGTCAGAAAATTAAATAGGTGAAAAATGTGGATCTATGTAATAAAAGGAAGAGTAACAATGTATTGGATGATTATATCACATGGATAAAAAACATGACAGCAATGGCAAAAAAAAAAAAAAAAGGAAGGGAGAGAGTGAAGCACTAACTGTAAATACCCTGTTATAAGGTAACTGCAATACTTGTACATGGGTTACATGCAGTATAAAATTATTTGAAATTTGATTTTTTTTACTCCTTTATTTTTAATTTTTGTGGCTATATGTGTATATATTAATACGTGAGATCTTTTTTTTTTTTTTTTTTTTTTTAACATGGAGTTTCACTCTGTTGCCAGGCTGGAGTGCAGTGGCACAATCTCGGCTCAGTGCAACCTTCACCTCCTGGGTTCATGCCTCAGCCTCCTCAGCAGCTGAGACTACAGGCAGAGGCCACCATGCTCAGCAAATTTTTGTACTTTTAGTAGAGACAGGGTTTTCAACATGTTGGTCAGGATGGTCTCAATCTCCTGACCTTATAATCCACCCGCCTCGGCCTCCCAAAGTGCTGGGATTACAGGTATAAGCCACCATGCCCTCCTGGAATAGTTTGAATATATTCAATTAGTTCCCTAAATGTTTGGGAAAGTTCATCAGTGAAGCTATCAGGTCCCAGGCTTTTTTTTCACTAGGACACTTTTTATTAATGCTTCAATCTCATTACTTGTTATTGATCTGTTCAGGTTTTGGATTTCTTCATGGTTCAATCTTTATAGATTGTATATGTCTAGGAATTTAGCCATTTCTTCAAGGTTTACCACTTTATTGGCACATAGTTGCTCATAGTAACCACTAATGATCCTTTGAATTTCTGCAATATCAACTGTAATGCCTCCTTTTTCATCTCTGATTTTATTTATTTGGATCTCTCTTCTCGTAGTCTGGCTACAGGTTTGTCCATTTTGATTAACTTTTCAAATGACCAGCCTTTAGTTTTGCTGATCTATTATCTTGTTTTCTTCATGTCAAATTCATTTATTTCTGTAGGAGATCAGTGAGAGTGATAGGAGAAACTATAGGGAAATGAACAGGCCTTCTGAAATCTGCATAGCTTCAGGAGAGAGTAAGCTGAAGGCAGCTGTTCTCTGACCTTGAGGCAGAGGGCAAGGTGTAGGTACAAGGAAGTGTAGGGGAATTTATCATAAACAGGCTTGTTTACTTATGTTGACCAGGAACCAACCTTTGATCATCCCCCTTGCCCTGAAGGAGGAACAATAAATGTTAATTACTTGAAGCCCGCGTCTGCTCCAGGCTTTTGGCATTATGTCTACACTGAATAAAATCAAGCAGCTCCAGCTTATCCGGGCTGCTGCACCTTGGCCACAAGAGCTCAGCAATCCCCTAGGATGGTGCTCTTACACTGCATACTGTGTCTGAGTATTCCTTTCACCCATCGCTCAGCCAGGGTCTAGGGGACAGACCTGGCATATTTCTGCCCTGATCTTCATTATTTCTTCTACTAATTTTGGGTTTGGTTTGGTGTTGCTTTTCTAGTTCTTTAATACGTATTGTTAGATTGCTTACTTCAAGTTTTTCTTCTTTTCTAATGTAGGCAGTTACAGTTATAAATTTCCCTCTTAGTACTTTTAGCTGTGTCATATAAGTTTTGGTACCTTGTGCTTCCATTATCATTTGTTTCAATTAATTTTTCAATTTCCTCCTTAATTTCTTCATTGACACACTGGTCATTCAAGAGCATGTTGTTTAATTTCCATGTGTTTGTATAGTTTCTAAAATTTCTCGTTACTGATTTCTATTAGGTTAGTATAAAACGGCAATTACTTTTGCACCAACATAATGGTTTCATTCTGTTGTAGTCAGAGACAATGCTTGATATTATTTCATATTTTTTTTTATGTTTCAAAACTTGTTTTGTGACCTAACATAGGGTCTGTTCTTGAGAATAATCCATGTGCTGAGGAAAAAAATGTTTTCTTCAGCCATTGGATGAAACATTCTATAAACATCTATGAGGTCCATTTGGTCTATAAGGCACATTAAGTCTGATTATTCTTTGTTGATTTTCTGACCGGAAGATCTGTTCAACGCTGAAAATGACGTGTTGAAGTTTCCAGCTATTACTGTATTTGGGTCTATCCCTCTCTTTAGCTCTAATAATATCTGCTTTATATATATCTAGGTGCTCCAGGGTTAGGTGCATATATATATATATGTATAAACATTATATCCTCTTGCTGAATTGACCTTTTAATCATTATATAGTAATCTTCTTTGTCTCTTCTAATGGTTTTTGTCTTAAAATCTAATTTGTCTGACAGAAGTATAGCTATTCCTGCTCCTTTTTGGTTTCAATTGGCATGGAATATCTTTTTCCATCCTTTTATTTTCAGTCTACATGTGTCTTTACAGGTAAAGCGTGTTTCATGTAGGCAACATTCAGCCACTACTCTATGTCTTTTCATTGGAGAGTTTAGTTCGTATACATTCACTGTTATTGCTGGTAAGTAAGGACTTAAGCTTCTGCAACTTTGCTACTTGTTTTCTGGTTGCTTTGTGGTATTTGCTTCCTTCTTTCCTTTCTGTCATCCTTCCAGTCAAGTGATTTTCTAAGATGGTATGATTTAATTTTTTG